TCCAGCACACCCCCGAGGGTGCCCACCTTCTGGGGGACATTTCCATCTCTCCAGGGCCAGGATGGCTTTAGCTGGGATCAGAAATGCAAAGGCGCTAGCCTGGAACAGCGGCAGCCTGGAAGGGGAAGCACAGAGCAAGGGTGGGGTGCAGTGCGGGTGGGCGGGGGAGACAGGGACACACAGACAGGGGAGATGGGGAAAGAGGGCACAGACGGGGGGAGGCAGAAAGGATCACACAAAGGGACAGAGACATAGGGATAGGGCAGGGACCGAGCAGAGGGAGTCCTTGAGGCCCTAGGCAGGACTCTATAACATTTTGGGGGCCCAAGGAGAAAAATAAATGGAGTCCCTGGCCCACACCTGCCCCTTTCCTTCTCGGCATGTTTTCTGTACTGTGAGGGCCTCATGCAGAGACGTGGACAGCTTATTTCTTGCATCCAAGCTGCACTGACAACCTCCCTCCCTCCTCTCGCCACACCACCACGCTCTGGCCACCTTGGGTTGTGCACACGGGGGCAGGGCCCCCAGGAAGGTAGACATTGACGAGGCCCGGAGGCAGGGGAATGGGTGGTCCCCGCGAAGGACGCAATCAGCCTGGTGAGCGGGCACCAGGCCCAATCCTTGCCCAGCTAAGGCACATTCCCTAATTTCCACAGACTCCTAGTCCTTGAGGGGTTATGGGGCAGAGAGCACCTTTTTTTTTTTTTTTTTGTCCCATGAGTCCTCTGAGAGAGACCATCTGCTCCAGCTGCTGCTGCTGCATTGTGTGTGTGTCTGTGTGTGTGCGTCTGTGTGTCTCTCTGTGTCTGTGTGTGTCTGTGTGTGTGTCTGTGTCTGTGTGTGTCTGTGTGTGTGTCTGTGTCTCTGTGTGTCTGTGTGTGTGTCTGTGTGTGTGTCTGTGTGTGTGTCTGTGTGTGTGTCTGTGTGTGTGTGTGTCTGTGTGTGTCTATGTCTGTGTGTGTCTGTGTGTGTGTGTCTGTGTGTGTCTCTGTGTGTGTCTCTGTGTGTGTGTCTGTGTGTGTCTGTGTGTGTGTCTGTGTGTCTGTGTGTGTGTGTCTGTGTGTGTCTCTGTGTGTGTGTGTCTCTGTGTGTGTGTCTGTGTGTGTCTGTGTGTGTGTCTGTGTGTGTGTGTGTGTGTCTCTGTGTGTGTGTCTGTGTGTGTCTGTGTGTGTGTCTGTGTGTGTGTTTCTGTGTGTGTGTCTGTGTGTGTGTCTGTGTCTCTGTGTGTGTGTGTCTGTGTGTGTGTGTGTCTCTGTGTGTGTGTGTGTGTGTGTGTGTGTGTGGCGGGGGGGGGGAGAGGGTGTGGGGCAGCTCACCGGATGCCCAGGGTGGTCTGGATGAGGGTAGTGATGCCCACGCAGGTGAAGATGGTGCCAATGAGCTGGCTGACCATGTGCTGGTCACGACCCACACAGAGCGCCTCGGCCAGGAGGAAGGGCACAGCGATGGTGCCACTGAAGCACGTCAGGTAATGCTAGAGGGGGGGGGGGCATGAGACCCACAGAACTCACGTGGAGTCAGGGCCCCTGGTAGTTCTCCTGCCGGCCTCAGTGGGCCCAAATGCTGCCCCAGGAGGCGGCATACCCACCCAGGCTGACACTGTCACAGGACGTTCCCAGAGGGCTACTGCTCCCCCGGCTGGGATTGCTTCTCTGTCCCCAGTGACATGGGCCCTCTCCCCTGTCACTGATTCTTGCTCCCAGGGGATTAATCCTCTCTTGGACCCCATAACCCTCTTCCCCACCCCTGCTTGGTACAGTCACTGCTGCTGACCTTAGGCTTCTCCTCCTGTGACCCAAGATGACCTTGGTGGCCAGGGAGGGACTGGGGAGTGAGCGGTGGGGACGCTGTCAGGGGAAGCCCACCTGGAAGCCCAGCAGGATGCACAGATACCAGGGCGGCACGTCTTCGATCTTGTACAGCATGTCGAACTTGGGCTCCGTGGGCGGGGACGCCGGCGGGTCCTTCGTGGAGGTCCCTGCTGAGCCCAGGTCCTCACGCTGGGGGCAGCAGAGGACAGTCACTCAGGGTGGAGAGGTGGACACTGGAGAGCTGAGTCTGCCCCAGAATCAATCAGGTACCTGAGTGGCCCGTCCGCTCCTCAGAATGGGCTCTGAGCCTGGGTTCCTCACCCCCCTCAGGGTGCATACACCAGCTGTCCCTCGGCCTGGCTCTACCCGGCTCCCGCCGCACACACAGTCCATTGTGCTGGCCCCTGGGGCCCTCGGGACTCAGGCATTCCATCCCTACGTCAGAAGGCCTGGGGGGTCACAGGAAAGGGGCCAGGGGGGCTGGAGACTGTGGACAGGCCCATTTGGGCCCAAGAGGTCCTTGGGGTGGCACTGTGGGGGGATAGGCTGTGTCCCTACTGGCACCCAAGCTGGAGTCAGTGAGTCCCGAGGCTGAAGTCTCCTTCACTCCCGCTGCCACCTCCACCCCAGCCCCCAGTAGCCAGGCTCAGCCTAGGACAGTCACTCTCGATCGAGTTTATAAGAACCTTTGTCTCTGCCCTCCCAGGGAGAAAGCCTGTGTGCGGCTCCTCCAGCCCCCACCCCGCCCCGCCCTGCCCAGCTCCCGCCCCTCCCCCAGCACCTGCGGCCGGCCCTCGGGTTCCTCCTGGGCCCTCATCTCTGGGACACAGGTGGGAGCAGGTCCTGCAGAGAAGAGGAGATGGCTATAGAACGGCCAAGGAGGACTTTACTCCACATATCAGACACGGTGGGAGGTAAATCTGTAACCAGATCTCCACTCCTATCGCGATTGCGAAACGGGCCCTGGGTGGAGGTAATGTATTAACTCTGGCCATAGCGGAGTGGTAAAGGCCGCCGGGCTGCGCCACATTCGCCTGCTGCCCACAGCCGAGCCCGGGCACGGGACCTCGTCTTGGTTTCCAAGAAAGGGCCAGCGCGGGCAGCGAGGCAGACAACGGTCTTGGACGTTTAGCGATCCCTGTGTGAGTGACAGGAGAAAGGGCAAAAAATGGGCCCTTACTGTGCCACCATCTGAATATTAATAAGTTAATCACTGCCATCGTCACAGCCGCTCTCACTGAGGAATGGCTGTGTGCCAGGGAGCTTCTCTGTGTCGCTGTGTTTAACCCCAGGTGCTGGGCAGTGGTAACTTCCTTTACACCTCATTGGTAGATTGATTGACAAGAAAACTATTCGTAACATTCATGCTGTAGATCACACATTAGATGTGCTAAGGCATCACCCTCCCTGCCTCCGCCACTCACCTCTCGGGGTCCGGGAGGCACACAGCACGTGAACCTCTGGAGGAGCTACCGAGGCTGGCCTGGCCTTGCTGTCCCCCGGGTCCAGGGATTCCCTTCCCCTCCCAGCCAGGACCCCATCCAAAACAAAACATGCAGAGCCCCTGTTCCAAAAGCATTATGAATTTTCAAGGCAATAGTAGCAGAACAGTAAACACTGTCTGGAGCCTTCCCAAGGGCCGGGCCCTGTGTGACTGCATGCCACTCAGCCCCCGAAAGCCAGCCCTGGCCCAGCCTGGCTTTGCCTCCTGGAAGGTCCAGCCCAGGCTGGCCATGGGGCCTGGAGCTGGTTGAGAGGGGCTTGGAGGGTCCAAGGGGCTGAGGTTCTGCTCCCCGCAGTGCTGCCCCAGGCCCAGCCCCCACCCCCAGGGCCCACCTACTTCTGGGTTGTTGTGCCCATGGCCAGACCCGGCCCCGGTGGCCCGCGGGCAGCACCGCTCTCCAGCTGGGAAGTAGCTTCATGCCACAGCTGGGAAGTAGCTTCGGCCTGTCCAGCCTCCAGCTGCTTCTCTGTCTGCCTGTTCTCTCCTCTTCCTCCTTGGCTTTCTGCTCCGATGTTCCCGAAGTTGTCTGACCAGTTTGAAGCTTCAGAGCTGCTCCTCAGCACTTTCCTTCCCACCCTCTCCTCCCCAGTGCTCCCCAGGGGGCCCTACCTCATCCAGTCCCCTAGGCACTCAGTTCAACCACACAGAGCCAAAGCCTTGGGTTGCACAGGATCTCAGATACAATCACACAAAGGTCTCACAACACCGGCTCAGGTGCAGACTCCACAGAAACCCAGGGTGACATCACGGGCTCCCAACTCCACACCCGACACAGCTCAGCAGTTCCTTGTGCCCTGGGTCCTTCCCTGGCGCCGCTGTGTTTCTTTTGGCGGGAGCACCACACAGGGGGTGCCTCAGGCAGATCAGGGGCAGGAGATAGGATAGATGGGGCTGGGCTGCAGTGTAGCTCAGGAAAGCTGGAGAGCTCAGGGCATGCTTGGGGTACCCCTATTCCTCCAGCAATGACCTTCCCTCCCACCCCCCAAATCCAAATTGCCTCTAAGTCTTACCACTTTTCAGCCTGGGACTTGTCCTGAGCCTCCTTTGTTGTCTAGGTCTTGGTGTCTACATCTGTCATCGGGGGATTAGAGTCTGTCCACCTCCCAGGGCTTTGAAGGCTCAGAGAGACACTCACAAAGGAAACGGCAAGTTGTCACGTCCACTGACCCAGGTAGGCCCCAGGTGGAGCCCTTTTCTCCATTTGCCAAGGGAAGAACCCCAGGACAGAAGACCTTCCGGGGAGAGCAGGACTTAGAGCCAAGATGCTGAAACCAGCCTGCTCCAGGAACCCGGTCCCACCCTGTCCCAGGCAGGCACCAGGCCCAACCATGCCAGCTGGGGTCAGAGACCGAGTCCAGAAAGTGAGCAGCTGCCGGGTGTAGACCCGGTGAGACTGCTGCTCCGGGAGGCACGCAGTGGTGGCAGTAGGCGTGTCCACAAAGTGGCCTGCTGATGAGTTTCCCATGGCTTTTCTTCCTTCTCACGATGGGTCTGGGGCTTCCCATTCACACAACGGGGTCTGCATGTCTTTGTCCGCTCACTGACATTCCTAACCATGACAGACCCCACTCACTGCTGAGAAATTTGCAGGGATGTGTAGTTGGCCCTCTCTGGGAGCAACATCAGCAGGAACCCCAATATCTGTCCTCCCAGCCCCCCCAAGCACATTTTGCGGAGAAAAGGAATTGAGGTCACTGAGTTTTATTTGAGTCCAGAGGGGAAGGCCTTGGCCCCCCGCCCAAGCCCCAGCGCCCCCAAGCTGAAGGAGCAGAGAGAGCGGCAGCCTAGACGAGCCAGTTCTCGTCCTCCGCGGCCTGCAGAGAGGACGGGGGCAGATCCAGAAGAAGCTCCTCTCCGTCTCCAGGGGCTGCCCACCACGGGAAGCAGGTGTTGGACTAAAGCTCTGCCCTTGTGACTGGTGCCTCCTCTGGGCAGACCCCCCGGGGGCCTCCACACAGCAATGCCTGCAGAGCCTCCTGGCCTTGTCGGTGGGCTTCATAGATCTGGTCTTCTCCGAACTCCCCCAGGTAGTGAAAGCACGTCGTGGAGAGCCTAGGAGAGTCCAACTGAGGCTTCAAAGTCTGCCGGCCCACAGCGGGCAGGCTAAGGCGCCAAGGATTCCATCTCACCTCCACCCTCCCGTCCTACCTGGTAGGCCAGGGGCCCCCTGTGACCATCACACTGACGCTTGGCTGTGGCCCACTGTCAAGTCCCGGGCCCATGAGATGCTTCACCTGGTTCACTTCTCGGACCCCGTAGCTGGAGGCAGTGAGGACACAGCATTAGCGAGAGCCTGGCCAGGGGAGACCTGTCTCCACGTGACACTGGGCACACTGGGCCTTTGTTGAGTTCGGGGCCCAGATTCTGGTCCTCCCTGATGGAAAACAGAGGACCAGGGAGGGGAAGCTCCTGTCCCTTGGCCACCTGTCCTTCTGTGTGCTCCTAGCTCTAGAGCTCACTCCTTGGTCCCCACCAGCCCCCCTTGCTTGAACCAGAGTCCCAGTGGAGAGCATGTGTGATGTGAATGGGAGAGTGGGGACCGCCACCCACCAAACCCTGCTCCTGGAGGAGGAAGGGAGGGACCGGATTTTCAACTCACTCCTGCCAGGCCTGGGAGCAGCTCTGTTCCAGGACATCTGTATACACCGACTCGCTCAGCTGCTGACGCCCCCCGGAGGTGTGAAGCTTGGCCTCGGCCTTTGCCAGATGTTGCCACATCTGGAACAAGGAGGGGTTGAGAGTCAGGGTTTAGGGACTGCTCGGTGTGGGGGAGGGGAGGACAGGAACCTGGGCCGGAAGAATGAGGTGCCAAGGGAGCTTTTTGAGCAGGAAGCACCTGTGAGGAAGGCCTCAGGCTCTTCCCCCCATTCCCCCAAAGCTGGGACCTGGCCAGCTGAGGCAAGATCCACTTTCCTGGGACGGAGTGGGTGGGTGGGAAATGCTGAGGTGGAAAGTTAGGCTTAGGCACAGGGGTCTCTCCTCCAGGGCACACCTGCCCATCAGCAGGTGCTATTTTAAACCACAAACACAAGGGAAGAAAAAAACACTCCACAGCCCACTCTTTAATGACGTGAGTACTCATAGGTACTCGAACACTCAAACACACAAGTTTGTGTGTGTAAGCTCAGACACACACATACTCATATAGTCATGCACTCAGCACGTGCACCCATATACCAATGCTCCTCAGTCATATTTTAGAAAAAAAAAGTCCAGGCCTGAGACGGGCCTGGAAAGGAAGGAGTCTGAGACGACAAACTAATGACTCCTTGGAGTCTCAAGACACTGTGGGGTGTCCCGGAGTGTCCAGTCTCTGTTGGGCAGACAGATGAGTAAACTGAGGCATGGAGGGGAAGATGGCAATATCATGGAAGGCTGCGTCTAGCTGGAGGCCTGGGGGTGGGGGTCTGGAGATGGATCAAAGGCCAGTGCTGGAATCTGAGGCAGCTGGAGGGTTCTGGCTTGAGGAGGACCGGGCAGGGGAACTGTTGGGGGAAGGGACTCACCTGGTAGGCCACCGCCTTACAGGCATCACAGCGAAGGTGAGTGGGCATATGCGCTGAATACTTCTCCTCATCGTCCAGCTCTGGGGCAGTGGCTGTGAGCGAATCCCTGTTCCCAAGGCCCCTTGGGATAGCCCAAGCCCCCAGCAGTAGCAGCAGCAGCGGCAGTGGCAGCCTCATGGTTTGTGGAGCCGGCTCAGTGAGCATGGGCTGTGGTTGGATGTAAATGTACTGGTGTGTGCAGCGGGGACCTCCCCAGAACGCCTGGCCCAGACCAATGGGGACCTGACACCTCACCCCTCCCGTTTCCTCCCTTCCCCCAGGAGACACCACGTGTGCACCTCCTCTGGGGGGACCCCAGCTCCAGCCAACAGAGCTCCATTTCACAGGCAGAGAACAACGAGGCAAGGAGCGTGGCTGGGCTCGGGCAAGGACACATGGGGGCTGCTATCTCCCAAGCCAGGGATCTGGCCACGAGGCAGGTACTGTGCAGAATACCTTGGGGGAGGAAGTGGTTGGTTACTGTCATCTTTAGTCTACCCCCAAGGTCACAAAGACTCTGAGGGAATTCCAAGGCCACATACCTAGAGGGGCCATGCAGAAATTGGAACCCAGGCCTGACTGCCACTCACCAGCAGGAGGACAGATGCCAGTCTAAGGGTCCCCTCCCTGGGAGGCAAATTCTCTGAGCATGAAAGACACTCCTGGTCTTCTTCCCTGAGCCCTACACCCAAGCTGTACCTGGGCATGAGAGGGCATGGTGGGGGTGTTAAAGGGCCACAGCAGGAAATCAGACACCTTACACCAGTTGTTCCAGCCATTGTAGCTCATTGGGTCCGTGATTTATTGCTCACCAGGATGAGGTGACGAGCCCAGGGCCCTCCATGCTATTGGAAACAGCGTCTCCAACTATAAAAAGATGTCCAGGCTTATCTGGCTCATAGTTCTCCCAGTCAGCTTCCAGTTCAAGGCAGGGGGGTAGGGACTCCAAAGGACTCGGGCCCCCAGGGGCATGGAACTGAAGGACGGCATCCATCTCCGTCTCTAACACTGCTTCTGACGGCCACTCTTCTGACGGCCAAACTCGTCACATCACACACTTGTCCGGCAAGGCCCAGGCACGTCAAGCTTACAACTTCACACTGAACCCACGCAAAGCACCTCCTGCTCCCTCCATGTACCTCCCTCCGCCCTCTCAGAGGCTCTGGGACTCTTGGGGCAATTGGAACACATGCTCTGGTCCTGTCCTTTACTGTGCTCGCTGGGCACGGCTGCCACACCTGTTACTGGGGCAGTAACACCAGCGGAGGGGTCCAAGTTTCTCTGGCCTGCCCCCCACAGAGGCATCCTTTCTACTGCCAGCCTTAACCAACCCTCTACCTCACCCAGAGGCTCCTCTGGGACAACAGCTTAGCCATTCTCCCTGCTTGTAAGTCCTTCCTGATGACTCTGCTCCCCACCCAGGATGGGAATGACTGAGCCCCCTTTCCTGGCACCAGGAAGAGCCAGGCTGGCTCTGAGGGCTTAGAGAAGCCAAGTCAGAGGTTGGGGTTGAGGGGAGAATAAAGGACAGAGCTCCCAGGTAGGGACTGCAGTCACTTCCCCACCTCCCTCCAAGTACCCCCATATCCCAGGCTGACCCTCCACAGCCCCTCCTTTATTACTTCCCTGCTTCCCCTTCACCTGCTGGTCCCCACAGCTCCCTTTCTCAGACTCAGCCTGGCCTGGCTGCACTAGCTACTTGCCACCTCAGCCTCCCAGGCCAAGGCTTAGATCTTCCTCCGAAGAATAACAGATTTGACGGCCAGAGTCCTCCCTCCATCCCCCTGGTGCTCACTAGCCTGCTCCACCTCACCTGGGCCCACCTTTCAGGGAGGGGCAGACAGCTACTACCTCTGGGGGCAGCCCGGTCCCCTGCTGCTCCTAGGGAACCCCAACCACTCTTCAGGTCAGTTCCTGGGGACAAATCCTGAGACGCCTCACTTTTACACACACAGACACACTCAAACACACCACACTCGTGGGAATGCTTGGGAAAGGGGTGTAAAATGTTGTAGAAAGAAGGCAGTCACTTCCCGAGATCCAGTTCCATCAGCCCCCGCCCGGGGTCTCAGGTACCTTCTCTGAAGATAATTTCCGGTCTCGGGACTAGATGAGATGGGTAAAAAAAAGTGAGAGAAAAGGGCAGGGACTGACTGGATGCCTGAACCTTAAAAGCCACCCTCAGGCCCCATCACCATGGGGATCAGGCCCCGGGGGGCCTCACACAGGGAACAGGGAGCTCTTGCCAGGCTGGGCGGGGCCCACGCCGGTGGGGGGAGCGCAGAGGAGCAGAGGCGGCGCGGGGCTGGGGGTCCCGCTCACCGGCAGGTAGTACATCCTCTCCGGGGGCCCCGCCTCGGACGCCCAGGGGAGCTGGGTGCCGCCGTAGGCCGGCGGGCCCGGGGAGGGTGGCAGGGAGAGGCCAGGGAGAGGCCCATAAGCGGGCGGGTAGAGGCCGGGACTCAGGGCCAGCGGGGTGTAGAGGCGTCGGGGTGGCCCCGGGGGCGAGGGCGGCAAGAACACCTCCACGTACTGCCCGCTCTCGGGGTCAAAGAGCAGCCGCAGCCGAGGCTGCCGCGGCGCCTCCACGAAGTAGTAGCGGCCGCTCTCGGGGTCCACCAGCACCTTCCCGGTGTTCGCGGCCCCGGCCGGCCTGCGCGCCCCCGGGGAGGGGCCTTCCGGGGGCCGGTCCAGAGGGGGCGCCGAGGCCGCGCGGGGCTGGGGCGGGGCCGTCCTGCCCGCCCAGGCCGGGGGCTCCCGCGGGCGGGGCGCCTGGGCCGCCGTGGCTGGCTGGGGGACGGGAGGAGGAGGAGTCTCCAGTTTGGGTGCTCTCCCCGGGCTCGAGCCAGGGTGCGCCTGAGGGGAGCTGGGGCGGGAGGGTCCGGATGGGTGGGCCCCCGCTGGCCCTAGGGTCGGCCGCTGGGGTAAGGAGAGCGCGCCCCCTACAGGGCTGATCGGACCCTCGCCGTCGGAGGCCAGGCGCTGGGCCTCCACGACCCGGTTCTCGTCCCCGGGACCGCGCACCAGGCCGCCCCGGGGCTCCTTCGGCCCGTGGCCCGCGGCCGAGGCCCCCGGCAGGCGGATCTCCGTGCGCGCGAAGGGCTTGGCCGTGCTGTTCTCCGCCCTCCGCCGCGGGGCCCCGTTGGGCTGCGGAGCGTCCCGAGGGTTTGCGCTGGGGGGCGGCTCCGGGGGCTCGTAAGGGTGCGGCACGACCGGCAGGAAGTCCTTGAGGTACACGGAGGTGTAGTGAGCCGGGGCGGGGGTCCCCGGCACCGGGAGCTCCGGCTCCGGGCGGGGCTCCTCCGCGGGGTCCGCCGCGGGCGCGGGCGGCCCGGAGCCGGGGGCTCCCGCCGGGAAGCTGGGCGCGTACGTGGTCTTCACCATCTTGCGCAGGTCGCGGGGCCGCGGGATGGCCACGCGCGGGCGCCCGGGGGCCGCTGGTCCGGGGCCCAGGGCTTCTGGGGGCACATCCGAGTCCAGGGCGCCCGTGAGGCGGCCGAGGGGCAGCGGCTGGCCTTCTGGGAAGGCGAGACCCGGAGCGCCCCGTGCGGAGGGACCCTGAGCCTCTGCGAGCTCCGGGGTCCTGGGTGCGGGCGGTGTCGGCGGCGCCGGCTCCCCGTGGACGACGCCGTTCAAAGCGTCCTGCGGAGAGACTATCGGGGAACCCTGCATTGGGGGGCCCCACCTCTCTTGGGGCGATGGACTCCATGGCCCAGTGGGACGATCTGGGGCCTCCCAGGAGGACCAGGCCGGCGGGGTCGGGCTCCTGCTCCCCTCTCCCGCAGCTCCGAGTGCGGGATGCTGAGCCTCCCACCGCGAAGGCGCTCCAGCGGGCGGGCTTCTTGCCTCGGCGGCGGCACCCGGATTCCATTGGAAAGGGGTTGGAGGGGAAGGGCTCCTGCTGACGGCTTCCTCGACGGCGGGATCCTGCTTCTCCCACGCGGGGGGTTCAGCCCGGTTCCGCGGGGACAGGTTCCGGGGAGCTGGGCAGTGAGCGCCCTGCGGGGCTCCATTCGGGGCCTGCCTCCGCGGGGAGGGGCTCCTCGGCCGCACAGCCTGACTCGGAACTCCCCGAGGGTCCCTGGCCTCGAGAGGCCTCGGGACGGTCCGATCCGGGGTCTCCCCTGGGAACCGGGTTTTGGGGTCCTGGTGGTGCGCCTCCTGGGTCTTCTCCCCCGATTGCAAGAAGATGCTGGAACTCACCGGGCCCAGGGGCTCCGTCCCGGGGCGGGCTTGTCGCGACGGATCGCCCGTTCGCGGAGGCTGGGCCAGGGCCGCGGGGCCCGGGCGGGGGCCGAGCCGCAGTGCAGGCGGGGTGGGCGCGACCGGCCGTCCTCCGGGGCCGCTCGGGGGCCGCGGGCCGGCTGCCGGGGCTCGGGCTCGGGCCGCTCCGCGGGCCTGCAGGTGGCGCCGCTGGGGGCGGCGGCCGCGGGGCCCAGCTTCCTGGCCAGCGCCGTCTGCACCAGCCCCGCGGCGGCCTGCAGGCGGCCCAGCGACTCGTCCAGGGAGCCGGTGCGCAGCAGCGGGCGCGGGCGCGGGGCCTCCTCCTCCCGCGGAGGGCTCCGGGGCGGCCGGGGGCGCAGCTCGATCTGTCGCTTGGGCACCGTCCGCGACCTGGCGGGCAGGGCCCGCTCCTCCAGCGCCACCTCCACGCACTCGAACTGCGCCGGGGCGGCCGGACTCGGCCCGCGGGGCCACAGCTCCAGGTAGGTGGCCCAGCGGGAGCCGCCGTCGGGGGGCGGGGGCTGCGGGGCGGCGGGGGCGGGGGAGGCCGGCGGGGAGAGGCCGTGGAGAGCCCGCGCCGTGAGCTGCTGCACCTCCGTGTCCGCCGAGTCCGAGGGGCCGAACAGGGCCCCGGCGCCGAAGATGACTTCCATCTCCCCCGACGGCAGCATGCGCAGCTGGGGCCGGGGCTGGGGCCGGGGCTGGGGCTGGGGCGGCCGCGGGCCGGCGCCCGGGCCTCGCGGGAAACCCGAGCCGGGCTGGAGCTGCTGGCGGCTATTCTGGGCGCTGATGGACAGGCGAAGCTGCTCCCCCACCCCCAGCTCAGGGGCCACCCAGGGCCAATGTGCCCGGCCCTCCGCGTCCGGCCCGGCGTCCGGGGGCTCCGGAGAGCCCGGCGCCGTGTGGTAAGAGCCTGATGAACCGGAGGAGTCCTGGCGCCGCGCGGGGGCTGAGGGCAGCTGACCTGCGAGCCCGGGCAGGGCCGGCGGGGCGGGCGCGATCAGCATGGTGGGGCCGGACGCCGAGCTCTCCCTCCCTCGCCTTCGCCTCCGCTGGTGCCGGGACGCCCACATGTCCCCGCCCCGCCCGCGGGGGCCGTGGGGTCACCGCGCCTTAAAGCGGCCGCGGCCGCTCCGGAGCCGGCGGTGTGGCCGGCAGGGGGGACCTGGGCGCTGGGCCTTATTCTCCCAGGCCCTTTCCTTCTCCGCCGGCCCGCGGGCCAGAGCGCCTTGGGTGGCGCTCCAGGTTCTGGCTGACAGGTGTGCAAAGTGGAGCCAGAAGCTAGGCCCAACTCCGCTCTTCACAGGTGAGGAAACTGAGGCTGCGCGGGGACCTTAGGTAAAGCACTACCCTAGGGCATGCGGATCGGTGTGAGCCTCAGGGGACCAGACCTTCAGGTCAGGCAATTCAGGTGTTACCAGCAATTTCATTTCCCCCTCAGAGCCTTCCCATCACGCTGTGACATCCCTCCTCCCTGGTCTTGTCATCCCATCCCAGTTGAAGCTCCTAAGGGTGCACCCACTTTCCCTGACCTGGCACTCCACAGCCTCTAATAGAGGAGCATTGCTTGGAGGGCTCCCCCACTCCAGAAGTTATGCTGGGGCCTCGGGAAGGTGCTGTCCCGGCTAGATCCACTGCCTTTAGTGGTAAATTACTGGAAGAAACTGGAGTGGACAGCTCGTCAACAGGCTTCCTTGACAACCAAGCTGTGGATGCTGATGCGGGCTCTCTTAGGAACCTTTTGGGAAGCTGTGGTCCCCTCGCTGAGGCAGGAATAGCTCTATGCTCCTCCAAGTACTCATTTCAGCCCCCACCACCTCTGTACTTGCCCTGAGGGGAAGCAGCCACCACCTATTCAAATGTTCTGGGACAATGACAATGGGCACCATTTGCCCTATTCTGACTTCAAGATACTGTTATGATTTCAGTCCCCAGTTGGCCTTGGAGCACAAGCACTGGCCCCTCCTGACCCATGAAAGGCTAGACTTGATGCATCTGGTTGTGTCCGTGCTCAGCCGGCCATTGGTGATGGCTTCTGAGTGAATGAAGCCTGTCCATCACTTCCGGCCCTAATATGCAACTTCAGCAAACAGTCAAGTCAGCCCCTTCACAGACCGTTTCCCAACCTTAAAAACAGACATGGCAGCCCTGGCTGGTGACTCGGTTAGTTGGAGCATTGTTCATCTACCAAAAGGTTACGGTCAGGTTGATTCCCAGTCAGGGCACATGCCTAGGTTGGGGTTTGATCCCTTTGGTCCGAATATGGGAGGCAACTGATCAGTTTTTCATTGATGTTTCTCTCTCTCTACCTCCCTTCATCTCTCTCTCTAAAAAAAAAAAGAAGAATGAAAAAACATACCCTCAGGTGAGGATTAAAAAAATAAAAAGGTTCAAGCTTTGTTTGTTTTTTTAAATGGCATTATTCTTTCCCCTTCCATTTGGGAAGACTGATGAGCTTCTGTTTGGGGGAAGTGTATAAGAAGGTGCACTTCACAGCAAAACATTTTTGTTTTTGTCACGGAAACTGATTTCCCAAATTTATTGTGGTCCTGGAACCACTGTCTTTGAAGTCTCCAGTCAGGGCTTTTCTTTGTCTCTCTCTCACATACACATGGCTGTTAATATAGGCAGGAGTTAAACACGGAGTAAGAAAGGACAGTGTTCACTAGATAACAAAATAGTCTTCCCCTCGGCTGCAACCATAACTCCATGGACCCCCTGGTAGGTGGTGGTCCAAGGCCTGTTCCACACGCAGTCTCTGGTAACTTGATTCTCACTTAGGTCACCAAGATCCATGAGAGGCAGGGAGGAAGGAAAGTACCTTCTGCCTCTTACCCTGCCCCTTCCCTGGGGGTCAGGCCACTGGTGAGGCCTAAGAGGACTAGAAAAGGTCAGGATGGGAACGCCCACAACAGAGAAATCAGAAGTCAGATTACAACCAGATAACAGAAAGGAAATAATTATTTTATTTTTCCCTGGGACGCTGGTGGCTCCGGGCCTGACAGGTCCCCGAGGCTTTCTTATGCTTCTGGTCTAGCACCTGGGCCATGTAGTTCTCCTGCTGCTTCTGGATCCGGAAGTCAGACATGTGATTCCTGCAAGGAGCCGGCTAGGCTGGGCGGGGGGCTGGGGACAGCCCAAGGTAGGGACCAGAGTTCTGGCTCCCCACTTCCATCAGCAACCCCCAACCTGTCCATGACCCCTCACCTGAAGATCTGTTTCTGTTGGCTGATAACTTGCTGCAATTCCTTAATCTCATTCTCTTTGCCATTAAGTATATCTTCTTGCTTTATAATGTGAGACTCAATTTCTGTGGGGGAGAGAGGCAGGGAGCAGGTGGTTCCATCCCATGAGCTCCTTCCTGCATAAGGCATTCATTTCCTCACAGGTCTTTTCAGACTTGGCTCCCTCCACCCACAGGCTCTCCATGAGCAGTTGCCAATACCTTAGTAAGAATGAGGTTATTATGGAGTCTTGATGGGTGGTGGGGACACAATGTCTGATGAATGTGTCAGTGACTTCACAACTCTATTCTGGACCAGGTGACTCACATGAAGGCAGGCAAAGGCCCTTGGAGAGAGGTGGCAGCCCTGCACACAGGCAGGAGGATGAACAGCTCCTGGCCTCAACTCCTGCAGATCTCTGCAGATATCACCTCTTTCATGAGACCTCTCCTGGTCTAAAAGTACAACCCTTCCTAATACTGCCTATCTCTTTTCCCTGCTTTACTTTTCTCCTTAGCATTTATATCTAACATACAATATATTTTACTCATTTACTTTCTCCCCTTCTAGGATGTGAGGACAAGGATTTTTGTTTCATTCATTGTTTTAACCCCAAGGCCTAAAACAATGCCTGGCACATAGTAGGTGCACGATAAATTTGTGGAATAAATGACCAGGATGTCCCCTGAGGATTTAGGACATAGAAGCATCACCTCGTTCAGTCATCTCAATCCAACCAGACCTACTGAGGGCCAGCCAGATGCCTACTCCTGTGCAGGAGCTCCCGAAAGGAGTGTTAAGACTCAGGAACTGACCAGAGGACAGAATAAGTGACGTTTCAATGAAGTTAATATTGGTGAGACAGTATTATTACCACTTTGGGGAATATGTCTCCTTTTCAGAACCGTGTCCTCATCTATATAATATGGGGACAGAGACAGACTATGTGGGGTGGGAAGGACCCAGGGAGATTAGTGGTGGAAAGCTTATCAGCTACTTAAGTGCTCATTAGATGCCAGGATGATTTTTGTGACTTGGGTCAGAATCCAATGAGGCTGTAGGATTCGGGGGGGGGGTGGGGGGGGGGGTGCTTCATATACATAACTATCCCTCAGGAAGCCCTGGAAAATTCTGATCCTCACAGGAAGAAAATCCCACTGCCTTTAAAGGTTCGACAAAGATTAACTATTGATAGAACACAAGCTCTGAAAACGCAGACATGCTAAAACATTTAAGGTTTCAGAAGAGATGGTCTGGCAGGAAAGGAGACATAGGTAAACAAAGAGAAGGAAAACATGAGCTCACGGAATCCTAGGAACAGGACTATCACAACTCCTTCCCCAGGTCATCCAGCTAATCCAGACTCACTGCTTGTGAAGTTCTCTTGAGAAAAAGTATCATAAATTTGTGTGAATCTTATAAAATAAATTAGATAAATGTAAAATAAATAGCACCCAATGAAAGAATGGTTAGAAAAGCCCTTTGAAAAGATTCAGAACTATGGAAGTACAACCAAATGGTAACCACACCAAGGGAGGTGGCAGCGGGGAGGGACAGGCGAGGAGAAGGCCAGGTCACCACTGGAGGCTTGTGCCCACTGCAGGGATTCAGGACGTTCTAAGGGAGGCAGCCAGGCTCCATCAGCCTGACCCACACACACCTTCCAGACGCAGAGCCCTGTGGCCTTGGCTGGGCTCTAGGAAATGCCCTGAAGGAAGGATGGCTTTTCCTAACACCACCAGGAAAGAACCCTAGGTTCCTTTTAGAGAAGTGGGGGTGGGGAGGGGTCAGAGAGGGAGAGGACTAGGGACCAGCATCTTGGGTATGAAGACAGTGACTGCCTGCTGGGCCCCAAGAGGCCCTAATGGGAGCTCTTGATCAAACAACCATGAGACCTGTCAGCCTACCCAGCCAGATCAAGATATAGTAGTCTGCTGGCAACTTTTCAGTGAGAATACTCACCAGGGGAGAAAGAAGGCTGGATTGGAGGACAGAGGGTGCCCAAGGCTCCAGGTGGGGCCCATCAGGAGAGACCCTGAACCTCTTTTAGGCTTGAGCTCTGGGCTCTCAAAATCTACTGCAGTGAATGAAGCAGATGTATGGAATTCACATCCACTTCTCAAGCTAGGTAAGGGGAGCTTAGCATTCTGGGAAAATGGAAGTGGTTCCCGAGGTCTAGGGACACTGGGTAGTTGACTCACAGCCCCAACTGAGCCAAGTAGCTCCATGCATCTGCATGGAGCAGAGTTGAAAACTAACGGCCTACAGGCATACTCTACTTGGCCCGTACAATATTTTTAAAGCTTCTCAATCAGTTGACAACACTAAAAAGTCAGGAAAACTTCCATTAAAACCTGGTTTCTTTTTTTTAAAAGCTCTGACAGTACTGGACTCCCCCTCCCACAGCAGAGGGGCTAAGCCCTTGAGGGTGAGCATGGCTCTCCACATTATATGCATCCCAAACCTGAGACTACCGTATTTTTCGGACCATAAGATGCACTTTTTTCCCCCCAGAAGTGGGGGGGAAAAGTCCCTGCGTCTTATGGTCCAAATATAGCCTACACATATACTTTAAAAAAAAAGTTTTTTTACTTGCCGGCTCTGTGTGGTCTCTGTGTGCTTGCCCGGCTCTAAAATGGTTCTAAATGCTGCTGTTTACTTTACAGGGTTGATTACATGTGTTTATGACTGTGATGTTGGGTTTTAATGCACATAAAATATTTTAGGACACTATTTGTTTCAGAATCTTTTTTTCTTCATTTCCCTTCTCTAAAAACTGGTGCGTCTTATGGTCCAGAGCGTCTTATGGTCCGAAAAATACGGTAAGTGTCAGCTCTCAAACAGGACTGTGCTTACCCTGTTGTTCCTCTTGTATCAGAGTTGGGAGTAAAGTACATTATTTCTAATCTCCATCCAAAGTGGAAAACAAAAGGTGGACTAAGAAAGTTGTATGTTTCAAAAAAATGGGAGCAAGCCCATTCCTTTATGGCCCATGAAGAATATTGTACACCAACTGCTTCCCTCATTTCCGTGGCCTGCCTGGCCCCTGAAGGCCTTTGCGAAGGTGAGGCCCGCTTGGGCTTGCCTGTATCCTCAGTCGGGGACCGAAGTTGGGGTGAAACCCTGCCCTGGACACCGGCGCTGGGTGGCTGGGGTAGATCCCGTGAATGTTAGCTTGGGAAGAAACACGGGCCTCCCGCCTACCATTGCACTTGGTGATGAGCTGGTCCTTCTTGCTGGACTCCTGCAGGGCTTTGCTCTTGACAGTGGAGAGCCTGGGTGGAGAGGATAAAGTGTGGGAAGGCTGCCAGGCTAATGGGACCCCTAACCTTACATCCCCACCGAGGCCCACTCACGCCTTTTCAAAGGCCAGCTTCTCTTTCTCCAGCTGTTTAGACAGCACCTCTACCTCTCCAAGGGCAAACTGCAACTTCTCCTCTTCCTTGGCCAGGAGGACCTTGGTCTTGGCATGAGCAGCTTTCTCTTCCTGCAGGGGCAACACCAGTGACCTTATTACCCAAGCGACCTTGGGTCTCCTAAGCTTCTTTAACCAGCCCCCTTATTCAGAGGGCCACACAGAAGCCAGAGGACAGAAAGACTGTCTTCATTACTGGGGCTGAAGGCTCTCAGAGGCCAATACTCAGTGATTGCTCAACCACAGGGATTCTGGGAAACAGGGCAAGACTGGGAACCTGCAGAGGCCATTACTTACCACCAACTGCTTCTCCACTGCCTGGAACTCTTCTTTACTGACAAAATTTTCATCCTGGAGAACCATCTGCAATAGAGCCTGGCTCAGGGAGGGACTGGGGCTGGGGCATCCTCTAGGGGCCGGGAGCAAGGGTGGATAATGGGATGATGCCCAGGGCATCTAGGATGAGACCCTGGAAAGGGAGAACTCGGTTCCACAAGTTGCTGAGGCTCAGCTCTAGGCCCTGCCCTCAAGGAACAACCAGTCTCATAGAAGAGATAGCCCATGGCCAGCACTTGTAACACAGCGTGTGCTGTGATGGTGTCCAGAGGAGGTCCCTGACCTGGCCTGGGAAAGGGGAGAACTGCTTCTAGAAAAGGGGACATCAGAACAGACCTAAGCTCTGATCATTATGTAGGGATGAAAAAGGCCAGGAATGGAGCCTTCAGGGGACTGAAGGAAACTCAATGCCTAAGGCTGCATACAGCCATTACAATAAGAAGGAGATGAGAAGACTCTTATTTCTGAGATGGAGGTATCTCCTATGTCCCAGCCTTCCCCTCAAGGCAGAATATAAAAACAGAAACTCCACCTGGCCAGGATTTTACCACGCCTGTCCAGAACATCCAAGCCTTTGCACCCATAAACCGTGGTTTGATTGAGAAAGCAACAGAGACATAAAGGAGTCGGAATCCCTTAAGTTGTCATGTGCAAGGGGCCAAATCTTAGGAGCAGGCTTACGTTTCCTTCATTAGCCAGGGAACAGGCAACACCCGCCCCCAGCCTTCTCCCAGGGCCTGTTAGTGCACGCAGAATGGCACTAACTTAGGCACTGCGGAGGGGGTGTCCCTAATAGAAAGGATATTACAATTTCTTTGCCTGAACACAACAGCCTTGGGAAATCATCTCCAACTAGGAATGGGGAAACTGAGGCTCAGTGAATAGAGAGGGACCCATCTACCAGGACCTATGCAACCAGGCAAAGAGAGCAGGGAACAATGTTGATTTTGACTAAAATTCCCTTGTAAAATATTCATGAGACCCTGCCCCCTTTGGCTCCACCCCCGGCAGCCATAACACTTTTGGGTCCCGCCTCCTTCTGATGACGCTATTGGCAATGTGCACTGCGCACGCCCCGGCTTGGGGGGGGGGGATGTGGTCCGGCCCCGACCCCACCATTTAGACTTCCGGTGCGCCTCTCCCCCAGCTCTTCCGGCTGCGTACCACGTTCCTCAGCTGATGGATCAATTCCTCCTGAGACTCAATCACGTCCCGCAGTTGGTCGAAGGCGAGACACACCGACCCTGACCCCCCCTGCGCCCACCCTACGGGCGTCGCCATCTTTTGCCCCCGCCAGCTCGTTGGAAATGGCTGCCGCTGGGTGGCACACCACGACGCCCACCAATGAGGGTGCGACGCCACAGAGCACCCTGGCCACCGGGGGCGGGGACTTCCTTTGTTACCAGGGGAGGGGCCCGCCTCTTAAAGGAGCCGCCCGGGGAGTTGAACCAACCCTTAGGCATGTAAGTTTATAGAGAATTTGCACCTGTAGTTGATCTTGTGTTTCTCATGCAATCCTGAGGAGCAGGCTTACGTTTCCTTCATTAGCCAGGGAACAGGCAACACCCGCCCCCAGCCTTCTCCCAGGGCCTGTTAATCTGCAAGACCGCGAAGCACGAGCCAATTAAGGCAACACCTGCATCTTTTTTAGCTCCACGCGCCCCCAATCTCGAAATTTAGCAGGGAGTGTGAGACTCCAGCCTCCTCAGATCTGTCTTTCTCCTACAGCATATTCACTATTTAGAAGGCCTGAACCTAAGCAATGAAGGTGGGGCTCAAGAACAGGCAAGGAGAGTGTAGGAAGTGGGCCTCTGTGACTTCAGCTAGTCAACTTTTAATGGAAGCGGTTCGTAGGGAGGAGGGAAGAAGATACAAGAATAAAGAACTGTGTACATAGCCAGCATCATGGTGGAAACACACCCAAGGTAAGTCCTCAGAGTCTGGTACCAAGCTCTGAGCAGTCAGTCATACTTGGTGCCAAGGGCGACCGGATCAAGGTGCTGCGGAGGGCACGGAAGAGCCTGAAGAGATTAGAACGGAAGTGGGGCATTAGGAGATTTCTAAAACAGGTATGGAGTAGGGAAGGATAAGGTGACCACACATCTTCACCAACTCCCTCCCCGCTTTTTTTTTTTAAAACCAGTAAGATTAAGCTTGGGGAATATCAGAGCTAATATTTATCGAGTATTCACTATTCGTGGCACAATTATGCCATATTAGTATTATTTTACGTGGTCTCCATAAAAACCTTGGGAAGTAGGTTCTAATTTCCACACTTTGCAGATTCTCTGAGAGTGACTAACTTGGCCAAGCTGCTAAGCCTCAGTACAAGGTTTTCATGTGGGCAGTTTGATTCTAGAATTCATGTTCTCAGTCTTGATACTGTGCTGCATTTTTGTTGAACATGATACTAAAGTTGTGGAAGCATGAATAATTATATTAAAGAGTTTTCGGCCCTGGCTGCTGTTGCTTAGTGGTTAGAGCACCAACCCTCCCATTGAAGAGTTGCGGGATCCCCAGCCTGGTGGGGGCTGTGCAGGAGGCAACAAATTGGTCTGTCTCTCTCACATTGATGCCTCTCTCTCGTGTTCTCCCTCTCCCTCCCTCCCTCCCCTCCCCCTTTTACCTTCCACTCTTTCTAAAACTCAGGTGAGGGTTCACAACAAAAAAAGAGTTTGCAAGAAATGTTTTCAGTGTCCAAGAAAGGAAACTGAAAGTTAGGTAAGCCGCTCTGGTTGCTCCCCAGAACTACCTAGGGGCCTCTTTTTCAGCTGTTGTGGCCTGATAAACATTGTCATTCCTGTGGGTCTTCCAGTGATAGCCCTTTATAAAAATAAAATTTTTGATTGATTGGAAAGCAGGGGTGGGGGGCGTGGAGAGAGAGAAACATCAATTCGTTGTTCCACTTGTTTATGCATTCATTGGTTGACTCTTGTATGTGCCCTGACTGGGAATCAACCCCCCCAACCTTTGTGTTTTGGGAGGATGCTACCCGCCCAGGGTGTGATACCCTTGTTTTACTTTTCCTTTTTTTTTTTTCTTTTCATGTTTGTTCTCATATCCTTGAGGGCAAGGCTATTTCTGTTGGCTGATCTAAAAAGGGCCCAGAGCAGTACAGTTCAATAGGACTTCTGTCCAGTACTGCAGCCACAGGCCACATGTGCGCTATTCAACCCTTGAAATATGGCCCGTGTGACTGAGGGATTACTTTTTAAATTAAAAAAAAATTATATATTCAAACAGTTAAAAAAATTTAATTAGTACAATTTACATTTAAATAGTTTTATATGGCTGGTAGCTACTATATTGGACACCTGGGCCTAGAGCACATGTGTCAAACACAAGGCCCGCGGGCCAAATCCGTCCCGCCAGGCCTTGCAATGTGGCCCGCACCGCGCTGTCATCACTGCACTCCGCTGCGTTTCCATCACAATGACAGTTTATGACTGTTCAGTAAACCATTCGGCCCGCGATTTAGGCTGGATTTTAGATTTTGGCCCCTTCTCTGATTGAGTTCGACACCCCTAGCCTAGAGGATGCTGTATATATAGATTGTGTGCCTCAGCACAGAGCCTTCTTGTAACTTTATCAAATGTGAATGTTCACCTGAATCACCCTGAACAAAGCTGCACATTCCTCTGGGGCAGGGATCCCTGAATCTTCCCTCTGAACCGTGTCCCTTCTGTGGGTTTTTTCATGAGGTGCTGCCTGATCTCTCTTGCCACTACCCATTTACTCAACCAGCTGGGACAGATTGCCTTGTACACTTAGGCCAAAATCCTGGAGCACAATAGGCTCCTGCAGCCAGTTCCCTGAGCAAGAGAGGACCCTGGATGCAGGTCTGCACCCTGCATACCAGCATAGACTGGTTGGGGACTGCCACAGACTCCTACTCTCTATCAACAAACACTATGAGCTCCTGGCCAACCAGGGCTCAGGGGGGCTCAGGATGACATGACACCACAAACAGCTCTGTGATCCTGCCCCAGGAAGGGCGGCTTTCTGCATAGTGTTGTCATCCTGGTTGATTTTCTGGTTATCTATTGCTATGTAACACACCACCCTACGTTTATTTATACCTTAAAAATTTTATTTTGCTCAGGAATCATCAGTTTGGGCAGAGTTCAATAGTGAAAGCTCATCTCTGCTCCATGTAGTATCAGCTGTTGGGGGAGAGAGGGAGGCTAGAAGTCCCACCCCCATGATTCATGGCTCCCTCACATAATTGGCACATTGGTGCTGTCCGTTGGGAGCTCAGCTGAGGCTGCACGTCTTGTTCCTCTCCATTGGCTGTGTGGGCTTTCTCCTAGCATGTAGACCGGGTTCAAGAGGAAGTATCCCAAGTGGCGGGAAATGGAAGATACCACTTTCTTAAGGCCTGGGCCCCCCAAAAGGGGCATCGTGGCCTTTCTGCTGTTTTCTATTGGTAAATAGGCCACAGAGTCCAGCTTCAAGGAGGGGGGACACATCCACCTTTTGATGGGAGGAATTTTCATTTGGGCTGCACTGTCAGAGGCAGTCCTAACAGATGGTGTGTCATTCTGGTCAGGGTTCAGCTCAGATAAAATTAGACTGAAACAGTCTAGTGGGGGAGACAGACAATAATAAACACTCAAATCTCAAAGTAAGTAATTATTTAAATAAATAGCACCAGAGTTATGACAGGTGCTAAGAAAGAGGAATGAGAGTATTTTAAAATATTTAGCCCAATCTGGGATATGGGGAAAGCTTCTGTGAGGAAGTGATTTTTGAGCTGAAACCTAGTAAGATAACCAGGTGGCACTTCGCAAAGAGAGGAGGGCCAGGTGAGTGGGAAAGGTTCCAGAAAGAGGGAACAGTATACACAAAGTTCCTAGACCCAAAGGGGTTGGCCGAGTGGTCTAAGGAAAAGGCTAGTATGGCAGAAAAAGAAAAAGATATGTAGGACAAGCAGGGGTGGAGGCCAGAAACTTGGTAGAGTCTTATGAAGCATTAGGTCATGCTAAGGACTTTTGCCCCCAGAATAAAAATAATAATTTGGGGGGCGAAAGAAAACTGAAATATTTTAAGCAAGAGGGTGACATAATTTATGCTTAGAAAAGATCTTCCTTGCCCTAGCCAGTTTGGCTCAGTGGATAGAGCATCAGCCTGCAGAGTGAAGGGTCCCAGGTTCTATTCTGGCCAAGGGCACATGCCCGGGTTGCAGGCTTGATCCCCAGTAGGGACATGAAAGAGGCAGCCAATCAATGATTCTCTCTCATCATCGATGTTTCTATCTCTCTCTCCCTCTTCCTTTCTCTCTGAAATCAATTATGTATATGGTCTCCCTGGTTTGCAGCAAGGTGCAGATTGGAGGGGCCCTGAGTTGATGCACAGAGACACTTATACTTGTGAGGCTACTGCAAGTTTTTTTGTTTTTTGTTTTTAATATATTTTATTGATTTTCTTACAGAGAGGAAGGGAGAGGGAGATAGAGCCAGAAACATCGATGAGAGAGAAACATCAATCAGCTGCCTCCTGCACACCCCCTACCGGGGATGTGCCCGCAACCAATGTACATGCCTTCGACCGGAATCGAACCTGGGACCCTTCGGTCCGCAGACCGACGCTCTATCCACTGAGCCAAACCGGTTTCGGCTACTGCAAGTTTTTAATCAGAGGAAATGGATGGTAGTTGGGAAGTCAGATGGTGTCAGAGGAGATAAGAGAGGAGATGGATTTAGGATGTTCTGGAGTTAAAATTGACAGGACTTAATAATGATAGAGGGAAAAGGGAGCCAAGGTGTTTTGGTTGTTTCCTGCTGCAAACTACCACAAAACATAATTAAAGACTTAAAACAGTAACTTTTATTATTTGCTCATGATTCTACAGTTTGAAGAGGGCTTGGTGAGGCAGCTAATTTTTGCTCTGCCCACCAGCTGGATTAAGTTAAACAGGTCTCGATTCTCATTTGGTTCTCTGCATACCTGCTTCATGTGGTTAGCTTGGTGGTCTCAGGGAGGTTGAACTTACCTGGCAGCTGGCTTCCCCTAAGTGGTGAAATGGAAGCTGCTAGTTTTGCCACATTCTATGGATTAAAGATCAAAGGCTGGCCTAGATCAGAAAGGGGACTACAAACAGTAGGGCATGAATATTAGGTGTGGTCCATTGGGGGACATCAAGTCAAGTATACGTTTTCTGGGTTTCTGACTTTTGTACTTTCATGGATGATGATGCTATTCATAGAAATGGGAGACTCACGGTGTCGCTCCCATTTCCTCCATTAAAAAAAAAAAATCACTGTACTCTGTAAGAAGGGTGACTATATTTCAAGCTTCTCTTCCTCAGAGTTGCTTTCACTGATCCCTCATACTGGATT